TTAATACTTACAATATAAACTTGAAGGTTTGAAATTTGTTTCTATTTGTGATCATTCGTTTCAATCTGAAAAGCAAATGTTTCGGCATAACAACTGCACAGTTGGGCAAACGGAATGTTAACAATCACGTTTACGTACTTGAGCAGTGATAACCGCTATCAGCGATGAATTGTCACAACAAATTACTCCGTAACTTGAGGGCAGGGACTACCGGTAGTACGAACCATGTGATAAGTCAAGAGAAAAAGCAAGAACATTCATACGCTTAACTCTTCGTGGTTAAGTTGCTTCCAATCAACTTAGAGATTATGTAACCGAAAAGGCCATCAAAACATAATAGCTTGGTAATCCATTGTGGCCCATTCAGTAATATTTCATGGAGAAAAACTACACGAAAAAATTTTTCTTACCAGTAGTACCTTCAGAAACTTCAGATAGACACCTGTTCGATTCATTTCGAAACGGACATCTCTAATAATACAATGAGAATCTCGCACGACAAAATCACAGCTTAAATACATAATCCATAGATTTGTGATATAACCATGGAAAAAACGTAACAAAAATTAGCACATACAAAAAATCGATACAGCAACCCAATATTAGGCACATTCACATACTACAACTAAAGATTAGTCATAATCTGACATCATAAAATCAAACAATCAAAACAGTCATCCAGCGAGTTTCAAAAGAGGAAATAAAACCATGATAAGCACTGGCAAAAAACGAGTAAAGATTACAAAAATGCATCATTTTTTCAAACCGGTAACCTTTTCGCTGCAGTCCCATAATTTTTCAACATTACTGTCATCGAGAGCACTCATCGGAGGTATTTTTGGTTTGCAGTTATCAAAGTACATGCCCGAAACATGCTCTACTTCATCCGCCACAGCCAAGTAAATGGTGGTCTGACTACCTTCTTGACAACTCTAAATTAATTTACATTAATTCATTAACATTCGAACGTCGCTAAAAAATTACTTTTGAAAATGGCCATAATAGTAGTACCAACCAAAGGGCTACATTGCGAAATATGTCTGTAGCGACAAGGCCAGGATGTAAACAGTTTACGGTCACTTCTGAAACAACATGTAAGATAATTCAAGAACTTAATAACAAAAACTGAAGCAAGATAATAAAAACACATAGTGAAAATCGGATTCAAACCAAAGTTGAGGAATGAATGAAAGTCATTATTTTTCATTTTTAATGCCATAACTCGATAGAACATTTCAGCACTTCGCATTCTGCCGCGGACTTCTGAAACATTTTCTATGGCGTTTGACGTTTCGAACGGAATGGCGGCAACCGTCAGAGGATCATCGTTATGAAATGAGAAACTTGAAAACATTTTAGAGACAGCTTATGGTCAAAGGACAGGACAGAATTCCCAAACAACTTCCACAGCACATGTAAAAAATTAACCAACATCAAAAGGACAGTGTGGCTACGACCATCCATCAAATGCAGCGTTAAACAATGTATAATAAGCGCATATAACAAGATTATGTCATCTCAAGTTTAAATAGTAACCTGGGTACCGGGTAGTTCACATAAGCAATTTAATTTGCACTTTATAGATGTATATAATGCTTACAATTTCAGAGTGACGTAAAATCTTTATCAACTTCCAATTATCTTGAACAAAGAATTCACTCCACTATACCTCAGTGAAAATTGCTGACGAACAGGCGGAAGGACATTCATGTGCGAACAAGCATACTGTTCGAACAAGCAAGAACATCGTACAGTTCTGGCGTGGTTATACCCGGGCGTGACAGGCACGCGGCCATGCTATCTGATGCATACGTTTAACGGTTCCAATTTACGCTAGCCCGCCACACAGCTGACAATCCAGAGCGTGTTGTAAACTGTTAAATAAACAAAACCAATAGCTAAATTAAAAACAGGTTTTAAACGTTTGGATTTCGGTCTCTCACAATTCCATGATGGACACTGCCTTGGACATCCTCCAATTTGACTGATTTGCGGCACTAACTCAAGATTCCATATCACCAGTCAGGAGTGGTTTATTTTAAATGCACTGTCTACAGCCATGTGGCAAGTCTAGCATGCAAGCTCCTATTCTGTTTCAACAAAACTAGAACGATCACCTGACATAGAAGGACGACATGATAGTGACTTCACCAGGGTTTTAGCCCACAGCTGTCTAGAGCCTATAGTCTGAACAACCAGTGGGAACGAAAAAAAAATAGTTATGCGCATAATTTATTCAAAAATTTCGAATCAACTCACTCTTCTCATATAGTTTCCTAGCCAACGCCCTAGTGAAGAGAATATTTTCCAATTTCGACAAATTGTACGCCTGGCAGCCGGAGAATGGCGTTTTGTCCAACTTAACGTCGTCGAAATCTTTGTACGAACACCAGTAGGAAGCCATCGATGATACGTTGACGATTCGACTTGGAGAGCTCTCGACGATTCTGTCAAGCAACAGGTTCGTAAAAAGGAACGGACCGAAATGGTTCACCTGCAACATCGACTCGAGACCGTCTTCCGTGATGGTTTTAGCCAAACCATCAGCAGCTAGAATGGTTCATTGTAGAAGAAATGACCTTCAAGCAAAGGGCTTAAGATTATAGAACATGGTATGATGAAGGCCAGGACGTGTTCTAACAGAGAACATAGAGAACGCATACCGCTTGTTTCCATGTAGAAGGACACGTCCCCGCTTTCACAAAACATGTAAATTACATTCACGTGATTTTAAGTTACATCTTTAGGATGGATTGTGTGAATACCCCGAGGAGGGCCAAGAATGACCTGGGATCTGGGACATGTGTTTCGAAAGATGCTCCTCCAGACAGAGATAATCCGGAGCTCTTTCTGGTGAAGATAAAACGTTAGCACAGGATCGGAAACGCTGAAGACACTGTCTGATGCGACTGGCACCGTGGTCTCATATCATACGTGGTCATCGAAAGGTGACCGAGTGAATCATAAAAAAGTGTTGTGCCCAGACCACGCCTGGGTGAGAACGGTCAAACAAGTATCCATATTACTGACTGTTGAAAATGCCAAATCACAGTATGAATGATATGCCAGTGTGGAATTAAAGAGATTATTATAACTGTCAGGGAGACTATGAAAATGATGTAAGGGTGCAAACAGCTGGTCAATAGGGCAGTGGCAAGTAGAGTGAAACAGACTTGCAGTTAGAGTAAATCTTTGAAGACTTTACGTTACCCTATAAACACAGGCGAAAGAACCGGGAACACTGTCCATTTCTGTACCTCAACAGAACAGAATGACCGCATATTACGGAAAATAATAATATTGAGTTAAAGTGTACTACAATGCCGAAATAAGCGTTTAGCCAGCAAACAGATGCAACAATACTTGCGATAAATATTTGTGAACTGAGAGTACAACAGATAGGAGATACCAAATTCAAGGTCGTTGCTTCCTGTACCTTCGTCTTAACTTGATAGGCAAATAAATGCTAGGAATGGATATTGTAGAATCATACGACTTTTTATAACAATCAGCGTGAATTTACAGTCATTTCATACGGCGTAGTCGCATGACCCCTTTGCTTCTATCAGACAAAGGAACCGTTTAAGCAGGCCATTGCTCAATAACATTGTATCACCTGTAGTGCACAGACTAAAAATCGCACCAATTTGTTGATTCGAACAAAAACATGTTCGAGCACCAATCGATATACCTCTAACTGCAGATATACGCGTCAAAAATTAGCACGGGTATTATTAGTTTTAAACGTCAATTTATTCAATGTTATTTAGATTTTAAAAATGTCAAAAAGGCTGTTTATTCCATACTAAGGTTTAAAGCGATACCTTTTCTGTAAAACAAGCATGAGCGGTCATCATGCGGCGAGATGACTCATTTAAATAATGCATTTATATGCATCGCGACCTAAACACATCCGTTAGGGTGATTACATAAAAATATAGACATAACCGAACAAAGCTTAATTCAAATGATAATATATGATACAACAATGGTCATGAACAGGCTTGTATGTACGTAAGCATA